AAATTACTATGTTAGTAAAAAAAAATTGGGGTAACTACAATTGAATTACTGTTCAATAGTACATCAATTACATACTATAAACAAAAAAGAATACTACAAAATTTCAACAAATTTTATAGTCTTGCATAGTCTATGTAATTACAGATAGTTAGTGGGTAATTGCAATAAAATACTTTTAACAATGCCAAAATTACCGACTATTTACTTATGTGTCACACAGCAAATTGTAATATATTACCAGTCAAGTTCTACAGAAAAATATTTATGAAAAGTATGTAAAGTGTGTAAAAAAATTGTAATCTGTTGGCAAATAGTGGGCAATTGAGATAYTATTAAACTGTAATTATAACAGAGTTACCCACTAAAATTTGTTTAACAACATAGTATTTTACATGTTACCAAAAATTTACATTAGTAAATTACAGTAATTACCAAGTAATTGCATAGTAAAATGTTTTATTTATCATATAGGTACTAGGCAATTGTGCAGTAATTAGGGGACTGTAAAAGAAAGTGTTACCGATGAGTGATTACTATAATTATCCAATGGCAACCAAATGTAGGTATTTTACTATCATATAGATTAATATATTTTTATGTTTTTGAAAAACTTCCTGATTCAACTGGAAACAACACAGTGAATGCAATGCGCTGTGAAGTGAAGGTAAGAAATAAATGTAAAACCTACACTTGTTTTCAAGTCGTGTAAAATTAAAGAAAGGTTTAAGTGTAAAGTAAAAGTAAAGTTCATAAGATAACAAGAAGTCAGTAAGTCCAGAATTTTTTTTTAATAATAGGAGAAAAAGAAGAAAAAAGAAAAAAGTGAAATGCAATGAGAAAGAGTGAAAAAGAGATTAGAAGATATGTAAAATATATGTTGAGAAAACACAAGACAGCACACCGGACTTCTCGGCTCCACACCTACAAAACAAAGATAGCAAAACCACGGCAACAAAAATACATAACTATGTAATTATAATGACTTTAGCCTTGCTGAAAACCATACCCATTTACATATATAAATATATACACAAACATACCCCTACCTACATATCCAAACACTTTCATATACTGTATATACATATATATACATACGCATACATACACGCACACAC